AAATATAAACCAATAATATCTGCAATATACAGTTTAAAATAGTCTATTTCAAATAGTCTATTTTTTGCAGTTTATCAGAATGAACTGGGGCCATTTTCACAAAACATCTAGGCTAAAAGTAGCTACTAACTTGCTGATTTAGGAGAAATTCTTAACAAATAATGGATGCATCAATCCTAATTTTAGGACTCCTAAAGTAAACCAACTAAAACAAGAGGACTCCTAAGTCTATGATCAAATCACAAACAATCCTAAAATTATAACAAACATTTCAGAAACATTTCATGATTATTTCCCTTTAAGTATGTCCGTCTTGAGTCCAGTTTGGTTTTCTTTTAAGTTTGCACAATGTCTTACTATCAGCCATGTCTGTTAATTAAAATTCCGCTTATTTGCATATCCGCTAATTGTTCATGAGATACAGACATGTAAGTGACTGATAATTAGCAGAACATACGTGTTTAATTAGTGAGTTTACATTTTAAATACTTTATTTGAATATGGCAACACTTTTATTCAAAAAACCTTTATTTGAATATGGCAATATGATACCTCATCCAATATTTCTATGACTAAATCACTGATTGGCCTCCATCTGCCAATCACTGTGGGCATAGTAAGCTTGTTGACATCTTCCATAGCAACAAGGTCAAACCCACCCTTCCTCTTAGCTTAAGATTTCTTTCCATTTCTTAGTAAAAGTTGCTCTCAGCATCTTTGTGAATAGGTTTTAAGAGGAAACTCTTACCTAAGAACTTTTACTGATATTTAAGAGAACTCTTAGTGGTACGATAAAATGTTTTGTGAATACAGCCCCTGATTTCTGCTAAATGCATAAATTATGTACAATACTAGAATACTGTTATTGCCTTTGAGAAGCTGACAAAATGTGATAACTAAAGCACTATAGAGATAACGAAAACACACAGGCTCAAATTTTAAGTGATTGCTAACTTTGTTTAAAAAAAAGGCTGTTATCATACATTTAAGTAATCCTTACAAAAATATTTTATTGTGCAAAAGCAATAAAATACTGTTTCTGTAAACATGTGTCTTATAGAAAGTGATAATGCAGTGGTAATATGCTGGCTCATGTAATTATTGTTGTTACATTCAATATTACTTTTGTTTTTAGGCTTGACACACACAGTATTTCATTAGTAATTGATTAATAGAAGATGGCAAAATCATTTGATGCTGTTTGACTTTTGTTTCAATGACTGTGGCTCAAACTGCTAAATTTCAATCATGATAACTCCTTCAGTAGATGTAGTGAAATATCTGAGTAGTGTAGAAACTGTAGTCATTCGCAGGTTGTCAGGACTTGTTCTTCTGTTTCAAATGGTTCAGCAATTTTCCTGCCGCCAACAATTGAAAAAACAGTGAAGCATTATTACTTTTCAGCTTGCAGAAGCACAAAGAATGTTTTGCATTAATTTATCAGAGTCAACTAACCATAGAAGAGCAAATAGTATATAATTCACATAATTCAAATCTAATATTGTGTTTTTGAAGTTTCTCATCATGTATATAAGCTGAATAACTGCGTCTTGCATGTCTTTGTCTATATGATATACTTTATTCTTACCTTTTGAACTTTCGTTTTCATGTAAACCATTTCCTGTTTCCTTTTGAACAAAAACAGACATTTTTAAAACATAGTAAACAAACTTTGTTTCACCTTCTCTTTCATGTAAAAAGTTGAACATACCTGTATCCCTGTATGAACAGAAGAGAGAGAACAGTATATATTAATGTAACTAACAATAAACTACCAGCAAATGTTTGTAATAATTATGATTTTTTTTATGTTTTAGAAATGCATCTTTTATGCTCACCAAAACTGCTTTTATTTGCTCAAAAACACAGTAAAAACATGAATACAGTAAAATATTATTACAATTTAAAATAACTGTTTTATATTTCAATGTATTTAACAATATTATACATGTGATGGCAAAGCTGAATTTTAAGCAGCCATTACTCCAGTCT